TGGGGGGGGGGGGGGGAGGTTTCCTGCCACGAGTGGCCAGAGGTGGCACTTGTAACTGGAGCTGTGTCCTTCGATGTATTATCAGTTTTAAAAATTTTTATTGATGAACTATAATGTGCATACTTTTAGAAATTATTTTTAAATGTTATAGTGATTTCTGTGTGTTGTATATAGTATAGTAGATAATGCGCAGAGTTCAAAATCTGTGAGGTCTGGAAAGGAATGCAGTGACGTCTCTCTTTGTCCCCTGTCCCCTAGTTTCCTTCCTGAGAAGCGGCCATTGTTACCAGCCTCTTGCCTATTTGTCCAGAGATATTCTATGCATATTGTCAAGATTATCTCTGCACTTTGACAAAAGCTCATTATATGCTCTGTCTGCATCTCGCATTTTTCACCTAACACTGCCTTGGGGACAATTCCATATCTGTGCTCGGGAGCTGTGCCATTGTTGGTTTTCTGGCCACGCCATAACTTTATTTAACTAGGTCTTGGTAGGCAGACAGTCCACTTGTTTCTTTTTCTTTTTTTTTTTCCAACCATTATAAACTGCTGCAGTGAATGACCTTGTATACTTGGCATCTGTTCAAGTTGTCTGCAGCATAAATGCTTGGAGTGTGTGGCCAGGTGAGGGGCTGTGAGCATCTGTAATTTTGATGGACACGGCCATATCTCCCGCAGAGGCAGGGACAGCCTTCCCTCCATCCAGCAGAGCCAGAAAGTGGCGAGGGCCCTTTAAAAAGGTGTCCTCAGCCAGGCACGATCCTAGCCGCCCTTCTCCTTCCGGTCACCCCGCAGGCCTGAGCCGGCTGACAGTGGATGAGCCCTTCCTGCGGGTCAGGCCCCTAATCTCTGGTTTCCTAAACTTGTTTCTTTACTCAAGTCACCTGGGAGTGATGCTTAAAAGCCCGAGTCCTGGGCCCCAACCCAGACATGCTGAATCCGAACCTGCAGGGTTTAGCCAGCTCCCCAGGCGACTCCTTGGTGGCAGTGGCTCTGCTACTGTCCAGTTCCCAGTCTCATTTAATTCTCAACACTCCCCACTGCCCATTGCGGGTCCTCGTTCCCAGTTCAGCCACAGCACAGCGAGGTTCCGTGAGGTCGGGTGGGTGGTTCTCAGGGTTTGGTGCGTGGCCCCTGCGGGCTGCGCACTCTCTTGTTTCCTTCCAGAAGTCTCTGTCTCCGGGGGTCTTCGGCTTGGCTGCTCCCTGCTGGTTCTAGTGCTCCAGCTTCTGCGGTGAGCGGCTTGCGTGCATCGCCCCCCAGTGTCCAGGCAGCTGGGAAGAGGCCTCGACCCAGAGCCCTCGCCCCCTGAGGCCGGAGCCGGGGGACTTGACACTGCAAAGGCACCTCGAAGAAGAGTAATTATTAAAAATGATCTCGCACGTTCGTAAGCTGGCTTGTGTCCTCAGCAGGCAGACATCCTCTGCCGCATTCCAGCCTCTCTCGTTTTCCAGCTTGGAGATGGAAACTGTTGTGGGAGGTGGGGGGGAAGGAGGGTCTGTCAAGGGTGCCAGCACCTCACGTGAGTTTCTGCCCTTTCTCCAGAGAGGTGTGTGCAGGCAAAGGCACCATCTCAGCCAGGGCCTGACGGCTTCCACTCCGCCTTAATTTCCCTTCAGCCTACATTGGATTTCTCCTTCTTACACGTTTAGCAGAGCTGAAATAAATGGATCCCTCAACGAAGCCAATATCCTGCCTGATTGCTGGGACTAACTGATGTTTTGGTGGGCATTTCATTGCTTGGAAATGAAAACATTCAACATGGCTCAACATTAAGTCAATTTTTAAATACATTTTCCAGATGCCTTCCATTTCTCTGGGCGTCAGCCGAATGGGCGGCTGTGGAGTTATCGGTCAAGCTTTTCAAAAGTTCCTTTTTTTCGGTGGAAGGTGGTGGCTCTTCCTGTTTTAAGTTGCTCTGGGCTTCGAGGCCGGGTTGGAATCAAAGAAAACATGTTGCGTGAGTGGCCGCCCGTGTGACCGAGGTGCAGCAGAGCGGACTCGGCTCACCCTCACCCTTTAGGAGGTGGGGACAGAGTTATTTCTGCACCTGGCAGGACAGTCTTGGTCTTCGGCTCGGGGAGGCAGAGCCCGGGAGGGCGTGGTGCGGAGCCAGCTGCCAGGTGCGGTGCCTTCTTCGAGACAGCCATCAAAGTTGTTTCTCACGGCCTACCTTAGGGGGCGAGTTAGGCGTCCCGGGGACTTCGGCTCTGTCACCAGCACGTCCCGGACTCTCTTCCTGGTCTCCTCTGGAGATAAGAAGAAAGCCCGAGTCTCCACAGCCGTCCGGTGTTCCCGAGGAGGCCGGCGGGTTTGGAAGAGCTGCGTGGGTAGGCAGCGTGGACACTGGAGCACATTCAGATGTCATGTGTGGTCATGACAGGAAATCAGGACACTGGCGTGTGGACGGTGAGGCCCGCAGTGTCGTTTGGGCTCCCACGTGGTTTTCACTGTCGGGGAAGTGGTGCGATGTCGCTTCTCATGCACGGGTCATCCGTCTTGTCACAACCCACAGCAGCCCCCCGTGGAGCTGGCCCCGACCGGCTGTCGGGAGTGGGAGGCTGGGCGGACAACAAAAACAAGTCCCCTTTGCGTCTGGCCTCGCGCTGCCGATGGCTCATAGTTTTGTCCCAGGTCCCCTTCCCATCCTCTGTTTTTGATTTAACCCCTAGAGCGTTCCTCCCATCTTGGGTGACGCACATGGTTCCTGTTTTGAGGGGCCGGCTCTGCACCCGGCACTGCTCCGAGGGCTTCGTTAGCGCGCGTCATCATCGTCACCGCCCAGCCGGGTGGGTCCTGTTGTGGTCCCCTTTTTCGAGACGAGGGGCGGAGGCTGAGAGGTTAAGGCACTCTGGTCCGAGGCCCCTCACAGGGCAGGGTTCGCCCGGCTCGGCGAGGCCTCCAGGACGGCCGTTCTCTAACTTCTCTAATGACTTAGATCAGAGGAAGAGTCTATAAATCCCTTCGCCTCCTCTGCTGGCGGGCGGCCAGCTTGCCTAGCAGCTCATGTAATTGGTGACCGCCTCGGGCGGGAAGACAAATCCGGCTTATGCCCTGCAGGACCCCCGGGGTGTCAGGCTGCAATGCGCGGTCCGTCCTCTGCCAGGTCACCCTGGCAGGTGCTGCTCCTGTTCTCCCTGCCATGTCAACCCCCGGCTCCTGGGTTCCCGGCCTCCATCTTCTGCTGTTCCCCAGCTGGATGCAGACGGCATGGTCATGGGCGTGCAGGGGACAGGGCGCTGGCCATGGTTCTGATTGGCCGAGGCCTGTGCCAGGCCAGTTATTTTGAGTATCACCCCAGACGGGTGTTTTTTTGCAGAACCCCCACCTTTGGGCCCACTCCAGACGCTGAGCCTGGCGTGATGGGTACTGGACGCCTTCCGGCAACTTCCCTCTACCATCCAGGGGGCTTAGAAGTAAGTTATTCTCTCTAGGCCCAGGACCTAGAGCTTCATCGCAGCTGCTGAGTGGGCTGTCCTGCCGAGGACAGCGGCTGCGTCTTGGAGTGTGTGAGTGCACACGTGTGTGCACATGCCTTTACCTGGCCTTGCTGTGATGCAAGACAGCACACAACCTAATATTAAGTATGAGGTCTTTCTTTGTCCTTAAAAGGTCTTTGCCCATCCTTGCCTTCTGAGGGCCTTTAAAAACATCTGTATTACCCCGCGTGGGACATGCATGTGATAACTAGTTAGGCACCACCAAGTTGCCAGGCTGCACCTTGTGTGTGTGTGTGTGTGTGTGACTCTGGCCCCAGAGCGCACTGACTGAGCGGGAAGTGACCCATTCCACTCAAGTTCAGTCACCAAACGGTGGCAGGCAGAATTCTGAGACGGCCCCAAACTCTCTGGTGTGCCCACTCGGTGTGACAGTCCCCCGAGAGCAGGCAGAACCTGTGGGGTGATGAAGGTCACTCCCATGACTGGCTTACCAAGCGGCTGACTCTGAGTCAATCAGCAGGGAGCCACCCAGGTGGGCCTGGCCTCATCAGGTGTGCCGTTTAAAGGAACGGGGCTCTCCCTGAAGTCGGAGAGATTCGGAGTGTGAGAGAGCCCACGCAGGGGCCACATGGCCAGCAAGGGCTCGGGTGCACGCTCGGAGGTGAGAGAGGTCCCTGGCTGACCGCCCACAAGAAAACAGACTTCCGTCTGGAAGAGGACCGCCAGCCCCAGCTGACGCCACGACTTCAGCCCAGTAAGACCCTGAGCAGAACGCCGGCTGAGCTGTGCTCAGACTTCGGACCCGCGGAACCAGGCGGTAAGAACTGTGAGTCATGCGAGCTGCCACATTTCTGTCGGTGTGTCCTGCAGCACCTGGGGCCGACGCCTCGCCTGGAAACCTGTCCCTGTCCATAAACCCCGCCCTGGGGGAAAGTGCCCTTGGCTGGCCATCCCTCTCCTTTCAGCCTCTCCCCACAGGGTCCTTTGCTTCTGGTACATTGGGAGGCCTGGCATCTGTATCTTTTGCGTTTGTCATCAATTTGTCCTTCCCTACCACTCTGCGAGTCTCCTTCATGGAAGCCTCCCGCTGGGACTCTTGCTCATGCCCGTGGGGTGGGGTTAACCCCACCTTTCCTCCAGGGCTGGGCTCTGTTTTAGACCAATCAGTGCGTCCCGTTCCTCAGGTTACAGTGATTGATTCAGGGATAGGCCAATGAGAGCCAGGCCCTGGAGTTTTATCCAGTATTTGGAGGGGGGAGAGAGAAAGACAGAGACAGACAGACACACAGCCAGACTCTCTGTCTTTATGGACGTGAACTGGCCGGTCATCTTGAAAGGATGATAAAAGCCGTATGAAGGAATGGAATTAAGAAACGGGGCGAGAAGAACTGGGTTCTGGTAACGTGCTCAGAGCCTGGATCAAACCATACCTGCATGTGCGCCCCCAGCCCATTCAGTTACCTCAGCACATCCGGGTTGGCTTTTCTGATGCCTACAACTGTTTGGGGTGCCTTCTTGTCCTTGCTTATTCTTCTCAGTTTTGGGGGTGTCCACAAGTCGTTTATAACAAACAGGTATGGACATCTTGGCCTCACGGACCCCCTAACAGCCCCAGGCTTCACCTCGTATCCAGCTCAGATGCATCCGCTTTTGAAAACTGTCTTCACAGTTGGTCTGGATGTGCCCAGTCAGAGCTTTGCTCCCCCAGCCTCCAGGGGCCTCCTTGTTGGGCATGTGGCCTCGGGGCTGAGTCGTACCTGACTGACTGTGGTACCCAAGTCTGAACGCCATCTGCTTGTCCCCCCGGCCGGATGCCTCCTGTGCCCCGAGGGCATGGAATCCTGTCTCTTCTTCCTTCTGATGGAGCTTCACCTAGGGCACGATTCTCGGGTGCAGGGGGCCTTTAGTTCTCTGGGGTAGCCTGGGTTCGCTCAAGTCTGATTTTCTAAGTGGCGCCTGGAGTTCCTTGTCGTGTGACTTGTCATAAGGGCCTCGCTGGTCTTCACACCGATGCCAGGCTTTCCTCTTCGTCAGTGTGGAGTGCACCACTGTCCCTGTGGTCAGACACCCACGCGGGTCCTGTCAAGTACTTGGCCGTAGAAACAAAAGAGCCGTAGGCAATGGCGCTGACCCCTGTAAACATGCTATCACGGATGTTTACTCCCACCTCACCCAAGGCCTGTTCCCCTGCCGCGTCCTTGTGGCATGTCCCAAAGCTCTTCCCCAGGGCCTGGCGCTGCACTCCCCAGTACCGCCTCTAGTTTTGGGTCGTCCTGCTTCTTCCCGGGGCCCAAATGCTTCCAAGGGCCAGGCTCTGGGTAGAAACAGCAGGGTGGGGTGAGGCAGGCACTGTGACCCTCCGAAGCAGACTGCCAGGCGCACGTAACTTCTCCCTTCCAGAGAAGACCATTTTAAAAGCTATTTGAGGTTTCTCCAGCTTCCAAGAACCTATGGTGTCAGCTCATTCCCAGGAAAATTTGAATGACTTCTGTACTTTTTCAAAGCTCAGATCAAGCGGCCTGGCTTTTTGTGTACGTTTTGGGTACCACCCGCTCGCGGCGGCTACAGATCCGCTGTCCCCTCTTCTCCACTTTGCTCTCCGTCTCTGGCTTCCCCCTGGGATTGGCCAAGGGGGACCCAAGGGAGATCTGAGGGGCCCGGCTCCCTTCTTGCCAGCCCACCAGCCTTGAAGGCCACAGTTCCTTTTGGGTGGCCATTTCTCACACCTGCAGCTCTCCTGGGTTCCAGAAGCCTCTCCCTCCCTTTTAAGACCCGTCGTAAGGGTCCCCCACTGTGGACAGTTCCAGGGTACTTCACACCCCTTGTTTCCTCTTAACCCTGTAAGAGCCCACTCATTAAACCGACCCCAGCTGAGTGTGGCATTCTCTGCCGGCCGGGACCTGACCTGTGCATTCCTCAGAGACTTCTGGTTCTTTCTGACGTCTACTCCTGAACTTGTTGACAGACCCTTCCAGGCGTCCAGCAGGACAAAGCCCTCTCTGTCACACAGCCACCTTTCTCAGGGATCAGCGTGGGTTATAGATCCATCAAATATCCGTTACATAAGGCTCTCAGCTTCTCGCGCGTATTGCTATTCGGCAGCTTACAGCTATTGAAAAACGCACACAAACAAAATTTTAATCTAACAAAGAAAGTGCCCTGATGACATTGTTTGAATCAAGCTACCGTGTCACATGTGAAGGAGAAGTACATGGCACTGAAGAAAAGCTTTTTCAACCCCATGCTTTGTGACATTTCAATTAGTATCTTAGACACCAAAGCTGCTGTGGAAACAGTTAGCAACGTTGCTGGGAGAATATGGGCTAGAAAAGAATTGAAGACCACTTATCTGTTGAAGTCGATGGAACAATTTCAGAGGCTGCGACCGTGAAGTCTTGACGGTGAGGCTGGAGAGACGCGGTGGCGTCTTCACGGTGCAGATCGCGATCTGGTCGGCTCGTGCTGACAAACGCTGGGGGAGCCGTGACTCCACTAAATACCTAACGCCCCTCCCCCCGCAGCAAGAAAGGTAAATGTAGGTGTTCGCCTCAAGGTTTTACACGCGTGATCCAAGAAGGCGGCAGAAGTGTGCAGGGAAGTAGTTATATTACAAATACAGCCGAATACGGCCACTTCTGACTTCACCAAAGTGGGCCCCGCCGAGAGCTCTCTCCTGAATCCCTGAACTTCGTAGCTGTCCGCTCGTCTCGAGTGTCCCCTTCAACACAGCAACCGGAATGTCCCTTAAATAAACACAAATCATAACCTTCTGCACAGTCGTCAAAACGTGGCCACAATGCAAAAGTCCATCATTCGAATGAACTGAAGGGGTCTTTGCGCACGGTGGCATGAGGCACGGATACGTGTGACAACACAGGTGAACCCTGCACACAACAGTGAAAAGCCAGTCACAAGAGCCCATCTCACCGTATGGCTTCACTTATTTGAAACGTCTGGAATGCACACACGCAGAAAGTAGATGCGCGATTGCCAGGGTTCTGGGGGCGGGGGAGGGCAGGACGAGGCGGGGGGACTAGTCACAGGTACAGGGTTCCTTTTTGGGGTGACGACAATGTTGTAAACTCAGTTGTGGTGATGGTCGCACAACTCTGTAAAGAGACTGAAAGAACCAGGGACTCGTCTTCTTCAAATGGGTGACTCGTGCGGCGGGTAAATGATACCTCCGTCACAGCCATTAGAGACGCGAAGATGTGTGAACAACTTGGACTGGCCGGGCCCGGCCCAGGCTTGAGTAAGGATGAATTCGGTCTGGCGACCGCGCGTTGGAACAAACGTCCTCAGCATCCAGGAGCACACCACCGCCTTTCCGAAGACAGAGACGGCGACAGGGTCAAAGAAGTCTCTGAAAAAAAGAAAAAAAAAATAACATTCCTCTGCTCAAACTCTTCTAGTGGTTTTGCCATGGGGGCGTCAAAACTGAAGTTCTGAAAATCACCTATAAGGCTTGGCATTGTCCCCTCCCCTCCCCCACCACCTGTCTGAGCTTCTCCACTTCTTCCCCACTGCTCTGGTACCCCAGCCAGACCTGCTCCTGCCCCCGGGGCTTTGCATAGCCCCGCCCCCTGCCCCAAGGTGCTTACACCACATCCTCTCCGGCTACCGCCTGATAAAAATGCATATTCTTGACACTTTCCGTTTCTCTCTCCTGCCTCGTTTTTCTCTGGAGCACATCTGACCTGTCACACGGTTTGCTTATGTTTTGGTTGTTATCTGTCTCCCCATCCCCACCGCAGGACGTAAGCTCCACCAGGCAGGCATTTTTGTCTGCTTCGTTTACCGCTATAACCTCAGTACCTAGAACAGTGTCTGGCACAGTAGGTACTTGAGAAATATCTGTCAAACGAATGAATGAAGAGCTCCCGTGTGCTCAGGAAGTCACTTTGTGCGACAGAGAAATCGTAGCTGGTCAAGACATGCCAAGAGATGCCGCACAGCAGGGAAATATAACCATCAAAACCACCATGAAATATCTGTTAGAACAGCTATTAGCAAAAAAAGCCTTGGTGAGGACATGGAGAAGAGGGATCCCTCGTGCATTGCTGGTGAGAACGTGAATCGGCGCAGCCACGAGGGAAAACAGCGCGAAGGGTCCTCAAGAAATTTAAAAATGGAGCTGCTACGTGACCTAGCAATTCAGGGTATTTGTCCGAAGAAATGCATAACAGTAATTTGAGGAGATCTGTGCACCCCTGTGTTCACTGCGGCGTTATTCACAATAGCCGAGGCATGGAGACAACCTAGAGGTCCACCAACAAATAAATGGATAAAGAAACTGGCACACACATACGACAGAACATTACTTAACATTAAAAAAGGAAATCCCACCCTTCGTAACCAAGCGGGTGAACCTGAAGCACGTGATGCTGAGTGAGACAAGCCAGACACAGAGACGCATGTTAGTTAGCCCTTACGTACAGGATCTGAAACTCGGCAGGGGTCGGCAGGAGAGTAAAACTTAGGTGTTTTCACTACACACAAGCTAATTAGCTTGATCTTGGTAACCATTTCGCAGTGAATATGTGTATCAAAACATCACGGTGTATACCTTAAATACGATCAGTTTAAATTTGTCATTTATACCCTACTAAGGCTGGAAAAAAAATTTTACAAAAAATGAAAAAAAAAAAAACGAAAGAGAGGCTACCCAGTCAGTATAATAGACTGGCACATAGTAGGGACTTGATAATTATCTGCTGATTTTCTCTACCGATGATATCTTGAAGGCATCTTGATGTGTATGATGGCATGTGTCTGCCAGTCACAGAGGCGTCTCATAAAGCTCCAGGCCACAGCAATCTCTTTCTCTGGGATTCTCCAGCAGCCCTGCAAGGTGAGTCCCGCACGTGCTGTCTGCCCATCACAAACACACCCTCCGACTTGGGGGGACATCTGCCGGCCATTTTTACATGCCACTGTAAGCCAGAGGCTTAGATGGACTGATCCCGTTTCTTCACCTGGGCCCCGGACAGTTGCGTTGTGTGTTTGTAATGCCATATTTTCCTCATCTCTGATTGTGTTACATCTTCCACAAAGCAATCTGCATTTGTCAAGGGTGGAGGATGCCAAGGAACATGTGTGCTTTGATTTCTAGGTGAAATAAGGATCAGAAAGAATGAGTCCCGTGCTTGTAATCTGCGCGGCCAGAAGCCGAAGCTTAAGACAAGTAGCAGTGAAGGGCTGGGTCTGAGGGGGCTGCAGGCAAAAGCCTGGTTCTGCTCCGCGTGGGATGTAGGTCACCTATGGGGCAGACTGCAGCTGGGTGACATCCAGAGCCACAGCTGGCACCTACAGTTCCTTTAGGGAAATTACAAAGGGGTGCCACTTCAGCCAGGCGAAT